GAAATGGAGAAGTTTAGCCTATGGCTACAGAAGATATAGAATAAATTAACGGACGAAGACCTGCGTGTGAAATGAACTTTTCTCTAAATGCTAACACTGTTGGCAAATGTAAATAAGGATTAAAACTTCAAAACTAATTAATACAAGTAAAGTAAAGTCTGTGGAAAATTAAGAATAAAATACCTATTTCGCAAAATCTGTAATTTTATTTCTCAAAAAAACTGGGGTAACAGTTACTCGTCGCCACGCAGTAAAGTAATCAACGTCAACGAAACCTCACCATCGCCAATATATTAAAGAATTAGGTAGCTTAAGGCATTCAGTCTTGTTGGCAACACCCATTAAACGTATAAAAAAAAGTAATTTCCAACTAAAATGCGCGAATGTTTAAGCAATCCGATGTTCAAAAGCGTTTATACCATCAAAGATTATTTTGTGGCAGTTTCTATTGCAACCGTTTCATAAATATCGAGCGATAAATGCGAAAACGTTTCGACTTACGAGCATCAAAATTTAATATTTTTTCATTGACAAAATTGCACATTTATTACATGAAACTTACTACAAGTACATAATTGAATATATCTGTAGGTTCGTTTGTTTGTATGCGATTTGAATTTTTGCATTTGACAGCGCCCTGCAGAAAAAAAGTGTCAATTGATAAAAAATAACACACTTTTAGTTAGCTTTTTTGCGGGATTTCTAGAAGATATGTAACTTGTAGTTAGTTACAAAAAGCTAACATGAAACTAGTTGACAAGTAATGCAGGAGTAATGAATGAGATATTTTTCTTCAAACGCATTTCTAATTAAAAATCTTGCACTTCGCAAATACTTTTTCGAATTGAGGACAAATAAAATGAAGATCGAAATTTCATATTATCATTTTGAAGTTATGTCTGACGGAGTTAGAATATGGGAGTATGTCAACAAATATGAAATGTAATAAAAAAAATAAAGTAAATAAATAAAAAAAAATAAAAAAATAAATAGAAAAACTATTTTGTTTTTGCTATTGATATTTTATGTCAAAAAGTAGTTAGTTACATAAAATGCGGAGGTAACCACACTTGACTATTTCGCGGCCATCGCCATAGAAATATAGTTAGTTTTCGTCAGATAATAAGTAGTTTTACAAATAATAACTGACTTTTAGCTCCTTCGTAATCAACTTAAAGTTAGCTTATAGTTAGATGCATTTCCTGCAGGGTATTTATGCACATACATACAAGTCAATATTTCAACAACTCAGTATTAATCGTGCAGGCAAATGTGAGTGAGTATTAGAAGGAAGACAAATATTTATACGATTGTTTTTGTTGTTTTCATTGGTGTAATTGCGCATCGAACTGTCATGTAAGCACGATCGAGCACACAAACTGCATACGTATACTTAATAGGTACATACGTTTCACTTGTATTGTGTACTTTGTGCATAAATACGTAGAATGGATAGGATGGATGCATCACAGGCATTGCTTGGCTGCAGAAGCCAATTGGTATGCCCAGCATTATGTAAATATATACATATGTATATTTTCACATACATATGTACATGGTAGCTTAGTGGGTTTGCATGTTGTATGCAAGTTTGTTCTCTCTATTCATCAGTTGCATTTTTGACGTAGAATAAGTCTTACGTTTCGATATGGAGATATTTGCTCAAACGTTTTGTAGTTGGGAGTTTCCATGCAAAAGTTATTTTCTTTATAAAACTAACAAACATTTGTAAAAATCTTGAAACAACCAAAAAATAACAAATCAAGGCTTTGAATGCATTTTTATTACCTTTTTTATGTTTTCGCCAAAGACAAGATAAACAGCAATGAACACCTTTAAAAAAACGCGTGTTTTATTTTTTTTATTTTTTGTATGTGATGAAAATCGCACTAATATGGCTCATGGTTACATATCGTTTCGCTTCCCGAATCGCCCCGTAAGGCTTCATTGTTTCAATATTTTGTGACCCACGTTTCAAAAGTCGTTTTATTTTCTGAAATCAATAAATCTAAAAACTGGGTAGGTGGTGAACTAAATAATTCGAAAATATAAATCAGTTAGCTTGGAGAAACCGGCTGAATCATACGAAAAAGGGCCGAACTCTACTGAAAGCTTCTAATGAAGCGCGAGACCAGGATATTTGGCAATGCTTTGAGGAAATCGCCAACGGCTCTGATACTGATACTGTACTGATGTGGATATGTTATATTATGTTACTTTATCTATGTTATGTTATGTTATGTCGCCTCAACTCCTCTTAATTTAGTGGCCTGAATTTCAACCGCTGGGCGAACACTAGTTATTAATATTTTGCAATTCATATTGGTTTATTAAATTTTAGTTCAATACAATCAAAGTGAATATTTCATTTTAATGTTTGTAGCTTGAATGTCATCTTAATAATATCACGCATTCTACGTTTAAGTTTAGCAGGTCATGAAGAAGGCGCTGGACTGATCCTTTTTCCTTGAGTATGTGATCGTGTGCAACGTATAGACATAAGCCTGTTTACATACAGATATGCATATTTTATGACTGCTAATGCAATATGCTTGTTAATATGTGTGCGTGTCTTACGGACGAACATGCATACTTACATACATCCATACATATGTACATATGTGCATACGCAAATGCAAATCAGTTACTGAAATTCATATTCTCATTGCGCTCAACTCCACTTCCTTCACCTAGCTTGCGTTCCTCGCAGGCGACCACCCACCCAACCATTCATGCGAACAGCCTTGGCCTCTGCTGCCTTTGATATTCAAATCCCAAAACGTTTTGAGTTACAGCCTTGCCCATATAATCATGCATTTCAGTTATTTGTGCAAACATATACATACATACAGTGAAATAAATTCAGTTGCAAGTTTGCCTATTTGAAATTTCGCATTTGAATATCTTTTATTGCTCTGCCTACATTTGGTTTTTTTCTCTTTGTATTGCATTTGTATTTGCTTTTGTTACTTTGCAGAAGTGCTCCATTTTTATTTAAGCAAAAAACGCCGGCAAATAAATATTTTGCAATCTACTTGGAATTGGAATTTTTATCGCACACCAGTACATACTAATATATGCATACATGCTAATATATGCATGTGTGCATGTGCTTTCAGTCTCTCGAGTACGCCTGCTTTGGAGCCGTTCACTCGACGATGGCCATGACATTACTACTTATCTACTCGTTTGCGCAATGTCTGGCATAAAAACTTTTTAAGTAATTTAATTTAATTTAATTTCATTCGTTTTTTTTTTTTGGTAAAAATGTTCACCAAACTTTGGGCATTTAAGATGCCTAGCTTAAAAAAGAATTAATATTTGTTGGTGTTGATATATTCTTACGACAGGGTGAGTAGATGATATTCATAATTTCAATGAAGCCGATATTTGCATACAAAAGTACATATGCAAGTACATACATTAAAAAGTCCATAAACTCTGGCAAGGGAGCCCATAAACTCAATTGAAGGACTAAGTGCTGAAGGATCTATCTGCGATGGGTATAAATGATAGCAGCAACTTCGCAAATTAGCGAGGCTTCTTTACCTCGGTCTAAATCGACAAAATGTTTTAGTGTCAAACTAGATGAAAAAAATGCATTAAAAGAGTTTAAATATTATTTTCAAAAAATATAGCAGTTTTTCTGGAAAAAGGTAGTTTATTTCCCAAGAAGGAGACATCTTTCTAGTGCAGCTCATATGAGTTTATTTTTCGTTAACAAATGTTGAAAACCCTGATTTTTGGATCAGCGCACAGTGTGCAAAACTTAAATTTACTGTTCCAAATAGTCGAGAGTTTTTATTTTTCAAACCGTGGTACAATAAAATGGTGCTTAAATATTTACACTGTACGACATTTTCAGCTTTTTGTCTGGGGGGAATTGATGAAACCAAGGTTTTCTGAAAGTCTGGACTATAAATAGAAAAAAAATTTCCAGTTTCCCTAGGTAGGCGATTTTAAGCTTTTTTGCAGTTCAGTTTTACCAAAAACGACCGCTGAGTGCGCTTTGATGCAAAAAAAAAACAATGTTTCTCCTACAGTTTTACGCCAACCCGAATGGCGATTGTATTTTAATGAGAAGCTGTTTCTCATGGCAGACATACACTCGGAGATTTGCCATTGCCTGCTGAGGGGCGACCGCTGTTAAGAAAATACNAATACACAAAATATTTTGGTGTATATTTGACTTTTGTGCTACTTGAGTTAAATGTGTTGAAATAACTTTATTTTGAAAAGGGATTGTCACCTTTTTAAAGTTTAAATTCAATTCAATGAAATATGTATTACCATGTGGATGTCAAAAGTAAGATGTTTAGAAATCTGTATTACGAAAGTAATGTGCAAAAGTTCCATTCAATTGAAATGAACATATATGAATTACAACAATGACAAAATAATTAAAAAAATTTACATCCTATAAAGACTACCTACTGAAATGGCACAATAAAATGAAGTTCGGCACATTGAACATGCTCTGAAACCTCTGGATAATAAGAAATTTTTTTAAGTAAAATTTATTAGTTGTTGTAATTTTTATTTGATAAGCTCGAGGCCCAGAAAATACATACAACAGAGGTTTTAGTTAGTTCAGTTGGTAGGGCACAATTAAGAGTTCCTGAGATGACCTCAGATTGCGGTCGAAATATCGACATCAAATATTAACAAACTAAACTCTGTGGTATATGTTTTATCTGGGCCCCAAGCTTATCAAATAAAAATTACAACAGTTTACAATTTAAAGGCCGATAAAAAAAATTAAAATTTATTACTTTCTGTTAAATAATTTAATTTCTTTTTTGTTACATTTGAAATCATACGGTTAAACCGAAATTTCCGCAGGCAGCGCTTGCCCATACCAAGTGTCGAACATGAGTGTTACCGGGTTAGTATGCATATCGTCGTTTAAAGTACAAAACCGCGTATCAACGAAATGCCAAACCACGTATGTGAGTTTGGCAAAATTTTCTAATAAACTAAGTATCGATATTTCAGTATGAATGGATAAGGGCTTGATGCCAAGAGCGTCCGGTGAGTAAATATAGCTTCGGGCACAAATATCAGTTACGCGGTTTTGCAGAACCACGATACGCGGTTTTGTACTATAAACGACGATATGTTTGTTATTTTAAACCGAAAACAATTACAAAAAGTAGGTTCAATAGTTTGGGAGCTAATCGCAAATCAAAGATAACTAGTGTAATACTTGTAAAAATAGGATAAAATATACAACGTGTTATCTTAAACCTAGCATATTTTGCTACAATAATATTTAACCCAAAGAAGAAAAAATGCTGGTCATCGTGCTTGAAATATTGTAATCTTTTCAAATTGAGTTTATGTCTGTCAATTACGCATAAACAATGCCATTTTTTTTAGCAATATTATGTCCAACATATAGAAAATGGTTTACTAAAATGTTAACTCTTTAAGCTGCGTGTAAACAAATCAATTGCGTTATTAATCACCCATAAATCTGACAAAAACGAAATGCAACTTATGAATTGGCGTGAATTTCATACATACATATGTAAGTATCAGCGGTTAACATTGATTGCAAAAAACATTTGGGAATGCAAATGTAAAATAAATGAATTAGTTAAATAAAAAATATGTGTATATGAGTCACGCTAGATTAAATGCAATCGTTGGTTTGCAAGGAAAAACGTCATAACTCAAAAAATGCAAATTACACAGTCATTAATTTTTTGGCCAGCCTGAACAAAAATCAATAACAACTAAAAAAAAGGAAAAATGTAACAGACATTGTAAAATTTAATTCGGTAGGCAAAACTTGCATAGAACTATAATTTTGATATTGCTGGAATCAAGTAGTGATTATTTTCTTGCTATAGACCTAAAATTATAAAAATTCATCCTTATCCGAAGATGCCCAAGTCTGTATTTCTAGCTCAAACATTTATATATATTTTTTTTTGTTTTACGACATTCTTCTGGCAAGCGAGCGATATGTGTATTTGAAATTACGAAAAACTGAAAAATTTTAACATTCACGCAGGTGAAGTTTTAAATTAAAATAAAAAAGAATTCATATGCAAAAACCCTTCGCTATTACATTCGCTTATTTTTTCGTTGTGATGCATGGCATTTTTTCAACTTTAATACTCCTATTAATCTTCATTTTTCAATTTTGTTTGTCTCTTTCTCGGTATTATCTACTATGGAAATAAAAACCAAAACAACAACAACAACAACAAAAACAACAAAAACATGCACCACACAAACCACAACAACGACAGCAATTGTGGAGGGCGCACTGCGAAATGTCAATTTAATCATCGAACCACCGGCGGTCAGACGCGGCCAACATGCCATCGTGCGTTGCCTGTACGATTTGGAAGGGACGCCCCTCTACTCGGCCAAATTTTATCGCGGCCAATTGGAGTTCTATCGCTATACACCTGGTGAATTTCCGAATACGAAAGTTTTTCCATTTCCCGGCATACACGTCGATGTGAGTATACATACAGACAATTAAATTTGACTATGCTCCTTCTTTTTGTTTGTGTGAATGAATGTATATATATATATGTATGTGTGTATGTGTGAAGGTAGGTGTGTGTGCACGCCAGAGCTTTTGCATCATATCAATGAATTTATCTGCATTTGATACAAACACATATTGCTCTCATGTACATATGTATATTAGGGTGGTCCAAAAGTGCATGTGAAAACGTAAAGTCGGAATATTAATGCTCTTACCCCTTAGGATTCTTCTATGCCGAAAAAATTTTTACCCCTGTTTTTAATTAGAAATCAAAAAAAAAATAAATATATCGCAAACAACAGTTTTCGTAAAATGGTATAGAATTTTTGAAAATCAATATTTTTTTTACGAAAAACATTGCTTCTCTGCAGGAGACTTATAATAACAATACCCTGTTGTTTATTATAAATTTTTTTTGTACCAGCGATTTTGTATGGGTCCCCCATCGCATTTGTTGAGGGTTTTAGGGGTCCTATAAAAATAGTTAATAATAGAAAATGGTTCATTAAAAAATTATATTGATAATATTATATTATATATAAATTATATTGAAAATATTGATTTTTGAGAGCTCTATACCGTTGCTACGAAAATTTGTTTTTTTGTAGGGGGCGAGAGCATCAAAATTCCTCTACTCTACTTTGTTTGGACCACCCTAGTGAATATACATATGTATGTTTTTTATGAGGGCTTTCTGTCACTGATATTTAACCCTATAACAGCAAACATAAAGCTGTAAGATACAATTTCTTAAACTTTTGGATACCTGAGTATGGCTATGCAAGGACCTAGAAGTCGGTATGGGTGACCTACGTCGGGAAAACATTCCGATATGAAGCGATAGTTAGGTCGCACTCGGAAATTGGTTCTGCAGTTCGTGGGGAGATTAAAGGCTTACCAGCAAAGAATGGTGTTTTCCCTCTTTGGGTTCCGTAGTTAATGAAGTTAATGAAGAGGTAGACAGACTTGTTAGCAAGGCAGCAGTAACAACACCGACTGGTTACGATCCCTTCTATGCAATTGGACCACATACTATCAGAGAAAAAGGAGAACTTTGGAGCACTGATGGGCACTGCCTTGCCTGCGGGCAACGCTCTCTTAAGCTTGCTATACATTGGCTGCGTTTCTTTATACATTCCGGATAATCACATTTCACAGCCGGAATAAACAGAATGCTTTTGAAATATACGTTAACATATCATCAGGAACGTTCTAAAGAATAAGTAAACAAAAAAGTTTATTCCAAACGTTCAGAATTAATAAAGAAATTCAGCCATTGTGTATAGGCGCGAGCAGAGTAAATGCTCTCTCTGCCCAACGCTGCTTTGGAGTGAAGAGGGAACGAGTATAAAAGCTCCAAGGAAAAGGTTTTTAGAAGAAATAACTAAAAAGAAAAGCTATAATAAGTTTGTCAATCTCCCAAAGAACAATTCCATAACTGTATCAGGAAGTCAAATGACTTATGCCATTTTTTTTTTGAAATGCTAAGCACTCTTCGATGGATTGGTTTAAAAAAAAACTATTGGATTTTCTAAGTAAGTTAGAACCTGCCGAGTGTCCCTTAGACCTATAAGAATTTTCATATCTATGTATGCTATTTTGAGAGAAAGATCGCTCTGTCTCAGCTGCCGATTCAAAAACGCGCTATCTCAGCAAACGGTTGAAAAATGCCCTATCTAAAAATTTGGTTCAAGAACGCCCTATTTAAGCTGCTGAAACATATAAATTTATATTGAGATAGGCGTTTCTGAGCGAAATTCAGAGATAGGGCGTGCTTCAATGCAATTCTAAAATAGAATGTTCCTCAGCCATTTAATGAGATAGAGGTTTTCGAATCATCAGCCGACGATGTACATATATGGTTTTCATGTTAAATATATCAGTTATTAATTGCGCTTTTTCATTTCGATGAAGGGTTAAGTTTTACATTCAACATACGTATTCAGCTGTATGTGTTGCTAGTTGTAGATACAGAAAAATTATTTATAGCTGTATGCTTGCAGTTTTTCTTGTTATTTTGCTATTTTTGTGGTATTTTCCTGTGGCATCGAAAAGGAATTAAAGTTGAATTTTTTGCTGAAGAAGGGCGGGATTTTTTTCAAATAGAATACACATTTTACTCATTTACACATATGTATGTAAACACGTATGTATGTGTATACGCATACTTCTACGTAAGAGCGGAAATTAAAAATTTAAGAGACTGGTTATATAAGTAAGTGTAAAAATCACATAACTCGGTATTATGATTTTTGTAACAAGGTATATGAAGCAATTTCACTATCAGCCTATATTCAGATTCGTTTTGAAATAGAACTCCTGTTTAATTGATTACAGAATCTCCCCCAGGTCTGAAAGAGACCATTATAGAATCGCTATTTGACTTGGATAGGAAACACACCTGGCTGTAGAAAACAATAACACAGTATAAGAGGAAAAGCTAGACTACCTACTTGACTGGAATCATTTCATTGAAGACCGCACCAAGAAGGCAAATCCCGCCGTGCATGCCTGTAAGATATCTACTGGCGAAAAATGGGGAATAAAACCGGATAATCTACGACCCTTAGATTATACCACTCCTCTACTCCAAATTATCCATAAGAATCCCAGAGAGGAACAAATATGAAGGGGCCACAGATTTAAATGCAGGATCGACAGCTACATATATATAAAGATGGTTCACAGCTTAACGAAAGAGTGGACAGAGGGATTTGTTCTGGCGAATTCCGGCTAAATCTTGTTTTTAGCTTACCATTGTAGCGTTTTTCAAGCAGAGCTTATAATCTCCGCCCCTGCAGAACGGCCTATCGCTATTTAATCTGACAGACAGGCTGCTATCAAATCTTTTAACTTTAACGAAACAACTTCCAAAGTAGCCATAGAATGAAGGAAGACTCTCAACCTGTGGGCATCAAAATGCTTCTTGAATATTGTATGGATCGCCGGACACAGGAACATTCCTGGCAACTGCTTAGCCAATGATCTGGTAAGGAGGGGACGGAAATATTTGAAGGAAATTCTGATCAAAACTAGGGCGTATCTCTAACCTCCTGGATACACAGACTAAAATTCGAACTCAAGATGGAAACCACCTGCAAAATTTGGCGATCCATAGCTCTCACTCGGCTGGACCGCTCTTTACTCAGTTTAGTAGTCGGGTTAAATCACCGGGCACCCAGAAAAAAGTCAGCCAAAAATATTTCTCTCAACCAGAGACCGAAAATAACTGGCCCATTTATTGATGTGTCATAAATTGTTATTTATTTCTTATTATAAAAAATAAATCACTCACAATAACTTATGTAATAAGGTTTTGGCTTATCTGCATTGGTCAGACTTTTATTTGATTTGATGTTGCATACATAACTGCGGTAGGCCTTTACTTTCATTAGCGATTCCATTTCTCAGAGTCATTAATCGTAAGCTCCCTCTCATAAAACGCCTTTACAGTGATATATCACAAAAAGCAAAAAATAAATGGTTAATGATAGAAAAAGTTACAATGTATTTTCGGTATCTGCTCTCAACACATGATTTGGTAACTATTTATAACTAAATACCCACCAAACAATTTGTGTTGCCAGCAATAAGAAAACGTGTCGCCCTCGGAAACAAATTTATTGCCGGTAATATTGCCATCGAATCGATTTTCTATTACCGGTCGCTTTAAAACGTCCGCCGAAGGCAACTCGCCTGGGCGAGTCGTTTTCTTATTATCTGAATAAGTCCTTTTCTTATCGCTTCAGGCGATATTTGGAATAATTTTATTCTTTTTAATACTTCATTTATTTTTTTTGTATACCAAATTGCAACTTACAATCGGAATTATTTCATTTTCTCGCTGTGAGGCTTCCTATTTTTTCAATCTTGTCCTTGGGCCAATACTATTGACGCCATATTCATAAGTTTCGGAATTTTTGAGAACTTTTTTATTCAATATTGACATGAATGAAGTGATGTTGCCGATTTGTCACCACAGCAATAAATCGGTGAGTCGCCAATTTGTTGCCATTGACGATTGTTGCCTATTTCTCATGTTTTGCATGGTGGGTAATGTAACTATAACCAAATTATGGTAGACAGTGCCTTATGGGCACACGCGGATAAAGGTTAGGATACCCCAACAACAATTTTTGTCGTATTTGCAGATACGAGGAGGATGTATGAGGAGAGCATCGAACATTATCTTTGCCATTGCCCCGTCCTGGCCCATACACGTGCAAGCAATTATTCAACAAACACTTTTTAGATGGTTTACCGGACCTGAACTCGCAGAACTTTCTCGAGTTTTTGTGCTATATTAAATGAACTAGTTTGTTGAGTTACCAAGAAGGCGAAAGAAACAAATGGCTTCGGATAGTCGTATCACAATGGGTTTTTTTCCAGCCTACGTGTGCTCTAATCTAACCTAACCTAATGAGGAAAAGCTAATCATAGAAGCGGGTAAAGATATACTAAACGGGGGAATGCTATCGTCTCTTGTCTTGCTACTGGAAGGTAGCTAGACAACATTAGCAATGGGATGAATAATTGTCTCAGGGATATGTATATATATTAAATGCGGAGCACATGGACATGGTAGTTTTCAAAATAAAATCATCCGAAAGTGGGTTATAACAAACTGACTATTAAAGCCTACACAAAGTACCTTGAGGGAGAATATGAACATTGCCAAACAAGCCAAGCGGCGCGCTGTACGCATTGGTGATACATGGAGAGCAACACTCTAATTTATGGGAGTTTTGGGGAACGAGGGGAACGTTGGGCAGATCCCTGCATAACGAATTACTGAGGGCAACAACTCCAATGGCTGCTTTAGGAATTAAGCTGAACTTGCTGCTAATAAACGTCGAGCTGGAAAATCTTGCGGCAAAATTAGCGATCAATTTGGACGTATTTAGTCAAAAAATATTAAGAATAGTGGATTTATATTCTAATTCATTCGATAAAAGATGTACACTTTT